CTCAAAATCTGAAGCTTCAGAGATAAAGCCTAAAATTTTAAAATATCTCCCAGTCACAGAAACGTCACACTGTTCAGCACGGAGGCATAAGGAAGAGTGCGGTGGGTAGCTAGGCAAGCGAAACTGCGCGAGACTCCAGGGGCCTAGGGCCATACTTTCAAAAAATTTAAGAGATCGTAAGTTCATTAGCCAATCATTGACGACCTTTCAAGCAAAATCCACCAATGACAGACAAGAAAATAGAGCGTAAGTATTTACGTTAACCTAGCGAGTTTTGAATGTATGGCCCCAGAACAATAAGGCCTGCATCGGTAATCGGCCAATTTGATGTAGGAGTTATGCGCAGTCATACCAGCGCACCCTGATTCTTCGCGAATTTTCCTTACAAGGTACGTTGACTCTTTACGTATAGAATATTATGTAACTTTGAAAGTCTATCAGACTTTTTAGGTTTCAATCTCTTCCGCTTAAATAAAGCCATTCTATTAATTCTAATTTTATAATTATGAACTGTTGCGCGCGAAAGTTCCTACTAAAAATATCGTGAATTTACATTTTCTTTGCTTCTTAATGCATGATATTTTTTCACTTTCGATATTTTCATTTCATTTTCCAGCAATCTATATTCCACCACTCAAGTCTCCCCTTAAATATCGGTTCTAACTTGCATCAGCGACTGGTCCATCGGAATATCGGACGATGTCCATTAAATTTTTGTCGCCAATTTTCTGCCGTACTTTGCCATTACGGAGGCTCCATACGCCGGCGACCCAACCATGTTCGTCATAATGAAACGAGGGAGGCAGCACCTGCCCTCGTAGTCGGGTCATTTAAATTCCAATAAGCTCGTCTTTTTTCACTGAATTTAAAGCCCCATTCACAATTTGTTTCCAAAACTTTAAGTCGGGGCTTTAATCTAGGTTTTTGAATTGGAAAAGCGAAATTTCCTATTTCTGTATATTGTATCGAGGCAAGGAGAAAAAACTGTGTAAAGAAGGAAAAATATTTTGTAAAACCCACTTCTGATGGATTACGCCCAGGGCAGAGGCCAAGGCTGCTCCAGAGGTATAAAAATTTACAGAGTGCTTTTGAAGCTGTGGCCTCCGCTACTGGCGTCCATAAAACGGCCTTAAAACGTCCCCCCTTCTGCTGCAGAGTTCGTATAGGAGCAGCCGAAGTGCTCCGAACAGCCCAGCTTAGAGGAGTTGTTTCTCCATCCTACTGCTATCATCCACGGATCCACAAACTGTACATTCACAGAAAAAAAGGTTATTGGACCAAAAGCTGTTACTTTGATTAAAATTATATTATCCATCCAGGGATACACGAACACTGCACCCACAGAAAAAAAGGTTCTTAAATAAAAAGCTGTTAGCTTAATTAAAAGTATATTATCATTAAGGGATAAACGAACTGTACACCCGTAGATTTGTTGGAGGTTTGAACAATTATCTGTGCTGCCTTACTATTGGGCATTTATGTACACGCGAGTTGTACACGTATAGACTTGTTAGTGTTAGAGGCCCTTAGAATGACGAGTTAAATCCCCATTACTGAGAAAATAAACAAGTCTTATCGTTCCTTCATTCCAAAGCTCATGCAGTGAGAGGAAAGATGTTTAATGTTGTTCCGGTATCTTAAGTATATTTCGGACTGAGTCATTTCACATTATGCAAGAAAGGTCCGGAATTGAAATGTTAAAACAACATTATCAAAGCCAGATTATTTTGATAATAACAGGAAAGCATTTAATTATTATATGTTGTATTACTTCAATGTCATACAGAGACGGTGGAATAAATAACTTTTCTAATGGTAAAACTGTTAACCATACGGTTGTCCCGTATGGTATTTAATCCACAAGTCTATCTTCATTATTAATATCCTTTAGTCATAACTTCAGCCTTTCTACATTGCAGATTTTAGTACCATATTATTGAAAATTGTTCAATAAAAAATAGTTTGTCAGGTTTTAAAGTTTAGAAGCCTAAATTCTGTAAAATCCCTAAATTTTTTATTATTTTTTAATTCATTACAGTAGTTTTTTTATTGCCAGGTACTGAGTTCAAAAGCTCCTGCGAAAGGCTCGCTTCTCAAGCATTCGCTTTTTATGGAAGAATTTAAAGTCGGCTGCTAAAAGCGTTCACTCGCCAAGTGCCTCCAAAATTATGAAGTTTTCGGGCTGTGGCTTTCTCGTCATCGCTTCGGATGCGACGTCCACAACTCAAAAGTTTTGAAGGAGAAAAGCTCAAGAAAATGAGCTAGTAAAAATACGGGTTTCAATGTTCCCTTGTTATAGATAAAAAACTCATGATTTTATGTAGTCATGTAGTCAACTACACTGCATGTAGTTAACGATATATTGAAACCAAATTAGAAAAACTGTATATTGTAGCAGTTCAATATTTAAAGGTGAATTGGCACTCTGGAAGGTAAAACTTTACTCGATCTGACTCTGACCATATGGCCAGATGCTTTTTCATGTTGTTTAATCATATGAATCAGCAGTCAATTTCACATTCCTTTTCATTATATATTTTTTACATGTTGTCATGAGTGAAAAAATTTCCCTGAATTTAAAATGCTATCGTATTTGCAATTGGATATTCAGACAATTCCTTGCTATATATTCAGACAAGTCTCACAGCTATATATTTTTGAATTGTTCTCGGTGTTACGTTTGCACAGGATATTTATACGAGTGCAGTGCGAAAAGCCTGATAAAGTTCTTAATAAATACTATCGTCCGTGAGAATTTTCGCACCTGAAGGCGTTGGAGCCGCGAGCAAAACAGACCAACTTGTGCGGCTGTGGAGAAAAACACGTTCCTCTCAATAATACGCGACTCAAATAGCCTATTTTAGGTGCCGCGTCGGTAATATTGCGCTGCATCCTGACGGAAATTGGTGTACTCTGAACACCGCCGCACTCGAGTACCTGAATGCACTTCAATGGTGGGGTCTTTGCTTTTAATAAACTAGGAAAAAAGTAAAAAATTAATGTGCGGTATTTTTTAGGAAAATGTTGAATAAATGTCAAAGGAACTCAGGATGTCTGGAAAAAATCGTGTAGCAGGCTTGTCTTCAGTTCCAAATTATATTGTGTTCTTTGGGTAGAAGGCTAAATTAGAATACGTATAGCACAAAGCATCAAATCTTTCATAAAACCGTCCCATTTGAAATATTAGGCAAACTTTAATACATCAATTTTCGAAGATGGATTCCGCGTTTGTTATTGAAAATTTTTCTGCTGAATTAATTGCTAAAACTTCTTGGATTTAACAGTATGCGTAAGCTTGAAAAACAAATATAATCCCACGTGTAGTGCACAAAATTCTTGTACGAAATAGTTGTAAACAAATTAAAACGCTTTGGTCGGAAGTAAGCCCCAAAAATTTTGAGAATAAAATTGTAAAATTTGGCAATCGTTATTTCTGTGCATGGGAATTTAACACGTTGAGTGCGACACGACTCACCACGGTTGTCAGATGGCCTAAAAAAGGCCAAGTCCGTGGACAAAAAAGGCTGATTATTCAATATATAGTAGTAAATTAAATTAAATTTACTAGTATATATTGTAATTTCCAATCTCGATACGATAATTTCCAACGATACAAAGGAAAATTTTAAAAATTAAATTTTCCTTCGTATCGTTCTTTTTAAAATTAATTAGGATTCACGCCATTACGATTTTTTTCCGCCAATGCAATTAAGAAGATACTAAATAGCGGAATTTTCCAGAAAAAAAGACCCTGCAACCCACCGGTGGGTCTTGCGACACTTAACGTGTTAAAGATTATTTCTACCTGTAAATTTTATCGGCTGCTATTGTTAAGAATATAAAAAACAATTTTTCTATGAACGTATAGCATTCAACGAATTGAAATATGAGATAGAAATTCTGGCATTCATTCAATTTTTTAATGCTTACCGTCTTCTTGAAGTATATGACATTATGCATGACAATTTAGAACTAAAGACTTTAATTTCATTGATATAACTGCAAACTATTATTATTTCCAATGAATATTTTTCCTCATCAGTCATAATGCGTCACATAAATATTTATATACATTTCCAATGAATATTTTTCCTCATCAGTCATAATGCGTCACATATATATTTTTATACGCAATAAGAATCATCAATAAATTTCTCTCCTTGTTTTTCAGTAGAGAAAGAAAAAATACCGCTAGAGATCGAGCCGAGCTCAGCCCTTAAGCAGCTTCGTGGCCGCGAGTTGTCCGCAAATCCTCAGTAAATACTGGCAATCCCCTGCGAGCCAATCCTGTAGCAGCGACTGCAAATTAAAGTGATTTTTATTACTCCGCTGAGATTATTAGCCTGACTTTGGAGAAATGATTAAAGGAGGGAATTAAAATACCAAATTATAGACGCAATGGTGATGAATTGAGATATTTTTTTAAATCTCTTGGGACAGCTTCAACTTACATCTAGATATTTCACGGAGTGCAGAGAAAAATTGATTTAATAAATACGTTCAGTAATGGAACCAAGTGCTCTTGAAATAGATAGACTAAGTCGCCTGAATCAAGATTCATCTCAAATACCGCCCATTTCCAATATAGAATGTGAGTTAGTTTGAGATTCAATAATAGTAATAACAAATATTTAAACCATTTATTAATTAACAAATATGCTTGCCTTACTCGTTCGTTCAGTTTGTAACATACTTCCAATCTTACTGCATCAAAATCTGAAACATGTCCAAGCCAGTAAAATATCAGGACTTTAAAAAAAATCACTCTAAATAACATAATGCAAAATTTTCATGAAATATGGCCACGCAATTCAGGTAAATTTTACCGAAATATAATCCGGCCGCGCCCGCTTCTGCAGCCACGCCATCGTATAGTTCAGAAAACAATTTACTCGTTGAACCTCCATTGCCGGAGCTCGGGCGCTTCATGCCCGAATGATTTCACTTCATAAATAAAATTTTGCGGAAAATTCACTTACACGCTCATTACCTTGCGCAAGCCCTGCCTCGGTGGCTTGCCTGGGTCACTAACACCCTGCCTCTGTGGCTTGCCTGGGTCAAAAACCCCTTGCCTAGGCAGCTTGCCTGGGTCACAAGCTCCTGCCTCTGTAGCTTGCCTGGGTCACAAGCCCTTGCCTAGGTGGCTTGCCTGGGTCACAAACCCCCTGCGTCGGTTGCTTGTCTGGGTCACAAACCCCCTGCCTCGATTGCTTGTCTGGGTCACAAACCCCTGCCTCGGTGGCTTGCCTGGATCACAAGCCCCCTGCCTCGGTGGCTTGCCTGGGTCACAAGCCCCCTGCCTTGGTGGCTTGCCTGGGTCACAAACCCCCTGCGTCGGTTGCTTGTCTGGGTCACAAACCCCTGCCTCGGTGGCTTGACTGGGTCACAAACCCCCTGCCTCGATTGCTTGTCTGGGTCACAAGCCCCCTGCCTCGGTAGCTTGCCTGGGTCACAAGCCCCCTGCCTCGGTAGCTTGCCTGGGTCACAAGCCCCCTGCCTCGGTAGCTTGCCTGGGTCACAAGCCCCCTGCCTAGGCAGCTTGCAACACAAACGCTGTCAAGTTATTCACTTCTACAGCCACGGGCCAGGAATATTTTTATGGAAGATGGTAAGAATTGATCCGTTCGGTGTTGCTTCGGGAAGTTATACAATTTTGGGGATTTTCTAATTGAATAAATTAAAGTTTATAAAAAAAATACAATATAATCTCACTTATCACTCATCCACTAATATTAATTATCCTAATCTCCCTTTTCACTCACACAAACGAATTTCTGCAAATAACATTTCTCATCGTCCGCTTGTAATTTCTTGGCACGTTAAACAATTTCACCACAAGCGGGAATATTTTCAAAACAAACATGGAAACGTATATTTTTATTGCGCTTCATTTATTCTAACTTTGTATCTTTATTTCCACTAAAAAAGAGGTATCTTTACTTCCGATTTGTATCTTTACTTCCGCTAAATAAAAATTCGAACAACATCCTCTTCAGGCACGCCATCGGCCATTTATGGACTCCCTGTGAGCCATATTACACGCAGAACAATGAATGAGACATATTGTCCAATTAGTGACAGGATTCCTTACCCAAAGTGAGAGCGGAGAGCGGACGTAGCACTGATATGCTCTTTTGTAGCACAAAAATGGGTCAGGAAGACCCACTTAAAGGAAAAAATACACAGCATATTAGACGAAGTCACTCTCATTTCTTTGAGTGTATGTTCACGGATAATATTAAAGTGGATGTCCAGGGAGCTTAACAACTACTTTAAGGCTTTATCCTCTGTATTGGCTCACCATTTAAATCCAATGCATATTAGAATCGTGGATGTACACGCATAACTTAACCAATACATTTATAACTTTATGTTCAGAGAGATTGGATATTCTTAAAATATTTCGAGCTAACCAATTGCATTAGTTTGATCAGAATAACATATTTCAAATCGTTTTAATGAAGAATAGTTCAATGAAATAGCTTTCATTTCCAATCAGTTTCCGAGTGATGTTATTGTTATTAAGCCAAGTTATTGAAGATACCACGTTATTGTGACCGAGCACAAACCTCATTAGAAGCTGATGATGAAACGGAGCAGCTTTAAGTCCTCCAGCGTTCACTGCACCAATCTTAAAAACTCGGCGCTAATTTTTCTTCGTAGCTACGCCTTTAGTTAATTGTTTACAGCGCCGCGGGATGGCGCTGCTGCATTAGCTGGATTGCCGACCACGATTAGTATTATTTGGCCAGCTTGAAATTCATCTTAAATGGCGACAAGATGTTTCCATGATTGTCGTTCTATGTATAATGGAGCTCTTATTTCCATACAATAAGTCACTTGTGGTTTACACGAGTAAAATAAAAATCGTGTGTGCAAACGATGTATGGAAAAAAGGCGTAGTGCTTAATGTAATTTGCAATTTAATTTAATTTCCAATTTTTTAATTTATAGACTCTTACGACAAGTTAAAGACCAGGAGGAATTCTTGGTCCACCTCATTAAATTCAAATTACTTAGACGGTTCTTTTCGCTCTTAAAATTTATCACGAGATTATATTGAGTCGCAATCAAATACTTGCTTTAAATACCTCATTCATACCAGAGGTTCAAAAATCTATATAAATCTCTTCCTCTACGGCTTCATTCAACGGCACCAATAAATTTCAGATCCTAGCTCGATTCCAATATTTCATAGTAAATCAAGCATCTGCCTTCCCCGCTATGATATATCTTCGTCTCACGACAATAATCTTCTTTGTTCGGATTTTGTGGCGCTTGTCCTTTGCTGACCAACCACTGGCGCATGGCTATTTGACCATCAGCTTATTGGCCACCACAAAGTATTGCACGCGTCAGCAAGATGATGATGAACGGTGCTACTGGACAGCGGGCATCCCGCACCAGATGTCTCGTATGGTGTCTCATATGGATGCCTGGTATGGTGTCTCATATGGATGCCTGGTATGGTGTCTCATATGGATGTCTCGTATGGTGTCTCATATGGTGTCTCGTATGGTGTCTCACATGGATGTGTCGTATGGTGTCTCATATGGATGCCTCGTATGGTGTCTCATATGGTGTCTCGTATGGTGTCTCAAATGGATGTCTCGTATGGTGTCTCATATGGATGTCTCACATGGATGTGTCGTATGGTGTCTCATATGGATGCCTCGTATGGTGTCTCATATGGTGTCTCGTATGGTGTCTCAAATGGATGTCTCGTATGGTGTCTCATATGGATGTCTCGTATGGTGTCTCATATGGATGACTGGTATGGTGTCTCATATTGATGTCTCGTATGGTGTCTCATATGGATGCCTGGTATGGTGTCTCATATGGATGCCTCGTATGGTGTCTGAAATTTATGACAGAGATAGAAGCACAGCCAGCAAGCTCGGTCCTGCTTGGTGTCCGATTTTTGAAAAATTCTTCGATTTGACGATATTGTCTCAGAAATATTCCGATGAAAATAAGGGCAAAGTACAATAGTAAAATAAAAGTTTTTTTTTATTGTTGTGTAATAATCACTGCCTTAATTGCGCCGTATAATGGACAGAGTATAAGAACAAAAGTTTAGGTACAAATTGCGAGCTTCAAACTCAAAGAAATACTTCATTTGCTATGTCGCTTAGATCACAAATTACACTGATAGCGAGCAAACCAGGCGATTGATTTTAATTCTGAACCTAAGAACTGTATGACCTGCGTCTCAGAATCAAATTAATCAAACATCTATACAGCGGTTCAATAATCTGACTTTTTTTTGTCAAATAAATGAAAAAAACGTTATTTTAGAATTATTCTGGCTTGCACGAATGTAGAACGAAATCAAATTCAAAAGTTGTTTTAATTTATAAAAGAGAAATCATTATCAAACCTCAATTATTTCCTGCCGCAAGTTTAGCTGCTGCACGCTTACCCTTCTTCGATGGACATACAATTTTTCTTGCATTTTCTTGTCTGCACGCATATCTCATACGACTTTGAGGTCATTTTACACCATTTTCCGAGGAGCTTTCAGCTTTTGTATAAAAACGAAACGAATACAATTCAATTTCAAAGCAAATTGTCCTCGAAAAATCTTAAGTCGTTAAAACCAAGAGGAATCATTACCAGTAGCATATTAATATGCTACTATACATTACCATGTATAGCAGTTGAGCTACGATATAATGAGGCGATCCTAATTATTCATCACGTCATTTAACTAGCAGCGCCTATAATGAGTTAAATAACCCGTAAATGGGCCACTGTAATCATGTATATTTTTTGTAATAAGTAAAGATATTGAATGTAATTTTCATTCAGTTTGTTCCAGAGTCCAAAAGCTAAGACAGCTTCAGTCACCATTAGGACGGCGCTCGCTTTGTAGTTACAAGGATTACTTTCCTTGTCGTCCATTTGCATTCATTTACACTCGTGCGAACGCAGCGGCAGAAACCAGCTCTTCAAATTCTGGTCCTGATCGCAGATCTCCGTGTAATTTTAACGGAGTTTGATATTTTAAGCCCAAAACATTGTTTTATTCCTATCCTAACGGGTTGGATATTTTCGTACCTCAAAAGTAAAAAAAAAATAAATAAAAACAAAATGTTCGATTCTGCAACCGAGTTTTGGTTAATGAAATAAATTGAAGAGACTGAAATCAAAGCTCACTAAAGCCGTTTTTTTCGAATGATATTTTTCAATGATTAAATGTTTGATAAAAATATCTTAATTCTCATAATTCTTCAATTTCCAAAAAATTTCTCAAACCTGTTCACGTTCAATGAAAATTAGGCAGTGTTCAGAATTAGTTTTAGTTTATATTACAAGATCAGAGAAAGAACCACAATATTACCACAATTTTCACCCTCGAACATCGAATGCTATTGTTTTCAAAGCACAATCACAACCTATTAATGAATTACTAAACATCGTCGCAACGATCGACAAATAAAATGTACTATCAATTCGCACAAAAGATTTGGCGGAACTTTTCAATGCCATGAAGCACTACAATCGATTGTACTTTGCATTACTAAACCAATAAAACTTATTATAAGCAATTGGTTACTTCCGAAAGGCGAATCAGTGAGCATCTCATCTAGGGAAAATATAGCGTCCAAACTGAAAAATTTGAGTTGCTAGTAAACGCTTCTGAATCGAGCTGGTGAACAGTTCAGAATCGAGCTAGTGAACGTTGCAGAATCGAGCTAATGAAAAGTTCATAATCGAGCTGGAGAACGATTCGGAATCGAGCTGGTGAACAGTTCAGAACCGAGCTAGTAAACAGTTCAGAATCGAGCCGAGCTAGAAAATGATTCAGAATCGCGCTAGTAAACGTTGCAGAACGGCGCTAGTAAACAGTTCAGAGGATTTGTCTAACTTGGCCAAATATTGAATGAGGACCTGCAACTTTTCAGCGAACGGACGCTAAGATTATCGAACTTATTGTATAACTTCACATGTAAGAAGCGATAGAACAATAACTTTACGTGAAGCAATAGAACGTTAGATTATACGACGGAATACGCAAGTCTAACAGCGATGTGAGTAAGACGCAGTAATGACTGTGCAACACCAGTCTAGCAGCGATGTTAGTAAGACGCAGTAAAGACTGACTGTGCAAGACAAGTCTAGCAGCGATGTAAGACGCAGCAATGACTGCTGCAACACAAGTCTAGCAGTGATGTTAGTAAGACGCAGTAAAGACTGACTGTGCAAGACAAGTCTAGCAGCGATGTGAATAAGACGCAGCAATGACTGTGCAACACAAGTCTAGCAGTGATGTTATTAACACGCAGTAAAGACTGACTGTGCAAGACAAGTCTAGCAGTGATGTTAGTAAGACGCAGTAATGACTATGCAACACAAGTCTAGCAGCGATGTTAGT